AAGACCATCCAAATACTGGAGAGTATGTAAAGAGTTTAGACTTTTATAATAAGGTGTTAAATGAGAAAAAAAGGCTACTTGGAAGCGGGAGAGTGAGATTCTCTTGGCTATATCTTGAGTTAGTTCACAAGTACGATCTCAATTCTGAGGTAAAATTTTAAAAAGGTAGGGTGAATATAATAACTCACATTAGTAAGTTTTGTAAACGAGGAATTAAGCAAGCATTTAAATGGAATTTATGACAAGTTTATCATGGAATTAAATATGAATTTCATGGGATTAATGAGTTAATTATGAATGAGGATACAATTCTTGCCAATCAAATCAATTAGGGACTTAAATGTTAATTATGAAAAAATTAGGGACAAAGTGTCTTTATGGGAAAAGTTAGGGGTCAAATTGCAAATAGGCAAAAGTTGGCCTAAACTTAATTTTGATATCATAAGATGAATCTTTGGGGAACTTAGTGGCATAAAAATGACGTCATTAAAGTTTCATTATGATTAGAAATCAAGTTATAAGCAAAAGAAAGTATAGAGACTAATCAGCAAATACTTGAAATTTATGGTCAAAAGTCAAATTTTGCTTTATAAAGTAAGAAGACTTAGGATTTTTTTTATTTTCTTCTTTTCTTCATTTGGCCAACAATAGCCCTTCGACTAGCCATGGGAGAGAGAGCTTCAAGCTTTGAACTTCATCATTTAGTCTTCTACACACCTTGACCCTTTCACAAGAAATTATCCTTGCAACCTTAAGAACATAACTTTGGTTTTACTTCACCTAGAAAGCCTTTTATTTGTTTGATTTTGTCACATCTCTCCATTGACTTTGGCACTGTTGATGGAGGCTAAGATGAGCTATTTTCATGTTTGAATCTTGGAGAATGATTATTGAGTGATTTGGAACTCATTTGAGGTAAGAAATTAATAATTTAAACAGTTGAAATTCAAGTTTGAATTTAGGTTTTCTTGAATATTTGGATGAATTTTTAATGTTTGGATAATCATGTTTATGATGTATTTTGAGGTTGTTTATGGATCCTTAATGGTTGAGGTGGTGAATGGAATAATGAATTGGTCATTGGAAGCATAAAATTTGATAAATGGTTTACGTTTCCATTCAGCCATCCTAGGGAAAATCATGTTTGATTGTGTTTAAATGTTGTGTTAATGGTGTTTATGACTCCTTGGATATGTTGGTGTGGAATAGGTCAATTAATTAGTCATTTGAAGCATGAAAATTTGATGAACACCTTTAGGTAACAATTCGGCCATCATGAGGAAAAGTGAGTTGGATGTGTGTTTAATTTGATGTTGGTATTGGTTGTGGTTCCATAATGGGTGTAGTGTGGGACCTCTAAAATTGTCTCACAATATCCATAGTAATTTTAGCTTGTCATTTCCCTTTTGTTGTTAATTGTATCAGCTTTAATTTTTGCAAAGTGTCTCTGTAATCTGTTTGATTCAGTGTTTGTATTTGTCTTTACTCAATATATCAAAAAAGGATTGAAGTTATTCATGTCAAAAAACATCTATTCTTGCTTTATTTCCAAATCTGAGTTGAAGTTTGTAACAAATGGTATCAGAGCTTCGATCTAGGAGCTCTGTGGGCATGGTGGCGACAAAAAGCATGGAAACCAGAATGAAGGTTGTGGAAGAAGGGCTATGCAGGAAAAATGATTGTCAGGATGAGGTGATTCGAAGACTTGACGCTAATGATGCTCGACACGAAGAAGTTATATTAAAGATAGACGCTAACGAAAGGGGAATAGCAGAAATCATCCGGCGATTGGATGAAATGGTCAGGATGAGACAAAGTCGTTCTAGAGATGGGGAGAACAACCTCGAGGACGACGTACCAGATCCACGCGAGGAAAGAAATAGAAGAAGGAACCGTTCTCGAGGAAGAGACAGAGAATCAGAATGTCAAAAATCAGAATCCAAACCGAAGCAAAATTCTGAGACGAAAGAGACATTGAAACAAGAGAAGGAAATTGTTGGAGAAGAAGAAAATGGAAAAGTTGTACCGGAAAAACAACCACCAGCGATACTAATGGACCAAATGCCATCAAATCCCTTTGTTCTTGACGAGGAGGAGATCAAGACCGCTAAGAAGAAGTTTGCAATCGAAGGAATGGCTGTTGAAAGTCAAAGAAAAAGGAGAAACCGAAATGAAATAATGACCAGGCACCGAAGTCACCCGAAGTCACTACAACCTCCAGTGATCGTGGTTGATCCTCCACTTTTGCCGGAGCCACTACCAGATTTGTCTCTTTGTAAGAGATGCAACCATGAGGGGAGGTGGCTACGAATGTGTGGTGACGGGAAGAAAGAGCGACGAAGAAAGATGAAGCAAGTTTGGGTTTCTGCAATCCAGTGGCAACCTCGCTTGGGAAGGGAATTTCAGAATTTGGGCCACCCTATTATTGAGGTAAGGAGTCAAATGCAAATCATTCTCAAATCAGCCCAACCCAACCTTTGGGATATTTTAGTTTCTCTGTTATATCAGAATTGGGCTTTTGAGCCCAAGAGTGAACAAAAAAATTATAGTGATATTTCAGTTTTTCTTTTATATTTGGATTGGTCTTCTAAGCCCAAGTGTGCACAAAACAACTCTAGTCTATATCAATCTGACCAGAATAGCAGCACCCTCAAAACGAATATTGTCTTGTTCGCTGAATTGAAATTGAAGAATATGATAGCTCTGCGAGCAAAGTAGGTAGGTCTCAGCGATGATCTTGCATAAAAATGTAGCCACTAGGAGGTGGAGCATCTATGTGGTCATGGAAGGGAAGTTCACTCTTTGGGTTATGGCTGAAATGGTGTCAGTACACGTGATCATCGTGAGCAGCGTTGCAAGATGGAAAAATACAGCAAACATATACTTCTGCTATACAAAAAGAACCAAAGTTTTCACGGGAATGGAAAAAGCATCATTGTTCCATTTTTGGTAGTCGATGTCAAGACACATGTGGAAATAAAGTTTGCAAAGAGAGGTTATGGAACTAGCGCAAAGACCCTTGACAGCTTATTCACCAAATCATATGGGAGAAATGAAGAAGGGCAATGGGATCCCGGTGGAGGTTACATAGCCTCATGCATTAGCTGGCCATTACATTTCAAACAATGGGATCCCGGAAAATGAACATCACCTTGAGGACAAGGTGATTGTTAGGGGGGGAGTATTGATACGAGCCTATTATAGTCAACAAACGGTTTAGAAGGGTGCATAGAAGAAACAGAAGCAGGGGAATATTGTATAATGCTGAGTCAGTAAAAGTTGTTAGGAGTAAGTCACATTAGATGGCATGAGGTCACGTTGGGTGAATTGGTTCTATTTAGATGAGGGGTTGAGCATTCTCAAGGGGTATCTGGAATCTGAGTATGGAATGGGCCCTTTTTGGGCTTAGGAGAGAGTGGGACCTCTAAAATTGTCTCACAATATCCTTAGTAATTTTAGCTTGTCATTTCCCTTTTGTTGTTAATTGTATCAGCTTTAATTTCTGCAAAGTGTCTCTGTAATCCATTTGATTCAGTGTTTGTATTTGTTTTTACTCAATATATCAAAAAAGGACTGAAGTTATTCATGTCAAAAAACATCTATTCTTGCTTTATTTCCAAATCTGAGTTGAAGTCTGTAACATATTGATTAGATTAAACTATAACCATGGAGAGTTTAAAAAATCGATGAATCCACCTAGGTGTGTTTTGGCCATCTAGTGAATAACTAGGTTGGAAGTTAGTTTAATTTTTATGGATGCTTGGAAGTTAATTTTGAGGCTATTCCAAGTATTGTTAAGGTGAGAAAGCGTAGCTTTTTATGATGATTCCATGGTATGTGATTTTTGGCCATTTCACGTGTGTTGGAAGCATGTTTAATCTTGTGTGGTGTTTGAAGGTCATTTCTTACATAACTCTAAATGACAACAAGTGTGAAAACTAAGGTTTTAGTTTGGTTTATAAAAGATAACATAATATGACCATCCTTTGATATTTGGCAATAACTAGTAATGACTTATTTTGTGGCATGAATTGACATATAAATTAAGAGAAATCACCCTACTTCGTTGTCTTTCTCTTTCTTTGAAGCTAGAAAGATGCATTGCTTCACCAAGGGTTTTGTCTCACAAGATCTGTTGGGAATGCAGATTGATCGGCAATTTAGGCGAAAGATATGTTGTGTCATGGAAGTAATATGATGAAATCAACTTACATACCATTTTTGGGAATTTTGATGAAACATTAAAGTGTTGAAGTTTTGCATTTAACACTTGAAATGTAACTTATATGGTGTAACAGCCCGTTACGTACCGGTAATGTTATCATTGCATATGGTATTAAGCGCAGTTACAATCACAGTCATTGAGTTAATTAAATTATGGTTAAACTTTTTCTTTTTGTTAAATCCTTATAGTTAACATTAACCAATTCCGTAATCAATTAAAAACAGCATCGTGATTGTAAATGCAAAACTCGCAGAAGCATAAAACTCATTTATTACAACCCCTCCAAGTATTACAATTAACTATAGGTTATAAAAACACTTATTTTCAAAAATTACACAGTGGTAATCGATTACCCTTCTTGAGGTAATCGATTACCAAAAGTTCCAGAATGAGGCAGTAGCTCAATTTGGGCTCCCCTGTTTTGGGTAATCGATTATCTTGACATAGGTAATCGATTACTGAACTAGGTAATTGATTACCTATGCAATGGTAATCGATTACTTTGATCTCAGTGGCTCAAATCTTGCGTCCCCTGTTTCAAGTAATCGATTACCAATGAAAAGTAATCGATTACCCTTTTTGCAAAAATCACAGTTGACAACTTTTAAATCACTAAATGGACCATGTTTTCTACTCCTAACACTTTGATGCTCAACATACACTTACTCAAGTACTAATGTAGGCCCTAGGCCCTTCCATCATGCATATTCATAATATCGATGTATCATTTACATCATTCACCATTTGTTTTGAATTTTACACATCATATGGCTGATTTACAACATTAATCTCTGAGTGCCTCAAATCATAATGTGTGGCCATGGACAAGTCCCATGCTAGCCAAAATGTCAAAGAAAACAAGAGGCATCAATATACATCAACTACATAGACTTAGAATCTAGTTATGAACACTACAAAAGCATGGAAATCTCAACATGCAATATGTTCATGATCTAAGCCCAAAATGCTAAATGTAATGCTATGTGCATCAAATAAACTCCTCCAAAATGCCATGCTCTCCATATGCACATCATGATCCAACTCCTCCACTGAGCAGGCCTCTTGCCCGAAGGTCCTCCATACTCACTATAACCTGAAATGATGTCCCCAAACGCGGGGTGAGATATACAAATATATCTCAGTAAACTAAGGGTACTAGAGGATCACTCCACCCCATGGTTCGCTCAATGTGCATAGAATGATCATTGTAACAGCCCGTTACGTACCGGTATTATTAACATTGATTATGATATTAGGCGTAGTTACAATCACAGCAGTTCATTTATAAAAATGGAAGTGAACTTTTTATTTTTTATTACGCGAGCATTTAAAACAATAATAAAGCGTAATAAATAAAAGTTGTGACCGTAACTGATAACTCTTTGCGGAATAATAATTTAACACGCCAAGATATCATACAACACTCCTCTCAAGTCACTAAGGGGTTCCCATAAACCCACTTAGCCTAAATTTCACTTTTACGTTTACTACCTATCCGAACATGGTTTGGTATTTTAATTACTGCAAAAAATTCGCAAGTCGCGCGCTTCTCATCTTTTAGTATGTTATTCTACACTTAATTATCTTTCTAACAAGCTATCATACGAGTCATAAAGTTCTTGTTTGCTCCGTATCACCATTTGAAGTTGGACAAGCCAAACTGCCAGCCAACCTCAAACAGGGCTCTAAACAGCCTACACTCTCTCAGCGATTCTGGAAAATCCACTTAACCAATTGCTCTCAAATTTTTATACAGTAAACTACACACCGCAAGATTCAATTTGACATATCATCTACCTAATTTTACAAGGAAATGAAGCGGGAATAAATTTCCCAAAAACTACCAGAGACAGCCCCATGTGCAAGGACGTTTTGAGCAGTCTGTGCTCACTGGCTTCTACAGGACAGCGTGGTGCTCCTTTGGTTCCCAAATTTTGACACAAGGTATTTGACATCTCAAGATTTATATTGATATATGGCACGTCCCTATTGGAATTTTGCGGAGGGAGATATGTTCTCTCAAAGTTCACCCAAATTCTGCCAATTTCTAGAAATTTCGCAAGAGTCTCCTTTGTTTTTCCAACGTATCCCACCTTTGAAGGTGTGTTATCTAACCTCAATTTGTACCTAATAAACATGGGTGGCACTCAAGGACCAGCAATCCCTTGGTGCTCTTACAACCCTTTAAAATTTATATCAATGAGTTCACTTTACAACTTAACAATTTCAATGTCAATTCTTAAACCATTTCAATCACATTAATTCCTTTGCATGCATTTCTTTGACATAAAATATAAATCAAATCCTAGAATAGGCCTATTGCCCTTTCATCATACACATGCTTCAATGTTGCACAATGTCTCCAAATTACAATTTACAAACTTCTTTACAACTATTACAATTATCCTTCAAATATACATAATAAATTCTCCAAAATAAATCATGACAATAAAAGACTAAACTTAGACAAAATACATCATGAACAAAGATGACAACAGTAATCCTGAATCACATGCATTGTTCATGACCTAAGTCTAGCCTAGGCCCAACAGCCACAAAATGTAAAACAAGCCTATGTCCAAGCTCATCCTACGAGCCTCTTGCCCGCCGTTCCAACACCACTGACACTATCTGATATAAAGCCCCCAAAATGGGGTGAAATATACGAATATATCTCAGTAACCCAGAGGTTCGGGAGATTACTCCGCCCCATGACTCATTTCAATGCATATCAATAATATAATACAACATTAAAACGAGATAAAACAAGGAATTTAGTGAAGTAGGGAAGCATAGGGAACAAATTACGACAAAGCTGGAATGGTCAATGCCAAAACCACGCAACGTCCGGCCTATTGGCCTCGGCATATAGCCTACGGGTTCTCATCCAAGGAAGTGTTCCCAGAACATCGACTAAGGCACCCTCCATCCATATACACCCGAGACTTCCTAGTGTGCTCCTCTACGGATGACACACCACGACCCCAGGTCAACTGGAACTCCCTCACGGAGACCTATCCAGAGGAAGTCCGTAACGCCCGAAGGCAATAGTCTACTGGCCTGAGACACGGTACATCCTATGTACAACTAAACATACAAATATGAATGATCATGTTATACTACATTACCAACATACACCTCCAACCACTACCCACAATGGGCATGGTGGAGCACACACGGGGATTAAACCCTAGTACCAAGGGATTACCTTATTGAAGCTCCCAAGCTAGGTAGCTCCAATGCAAGTTTTATCGTAACTTCGTCCACTCAAAAATGCCCAAATCCTTTTGGTCAAGGACCAAAGGCAATCCATCAAGATCAATCCTCAAGGATCACGTCCGTGGGAGGCAACCTACAACGATCACACATAGGATCATCAATCCACCAGTAAACCAAGTTAAAACACAACACCAATTCATGCTCATCCAACCAAAATTTTCCTAATATTCTTATACTTAACCATCATAATCTATGTGTCACAAGCTTTTAAACGATATATCATAAACCTTATTTTGATAAGATATATCATAGACTCATTAGAGTAATCTCAACTCCTATTTAAAGCCCTATGGCTAAAATATCATAAAGAGAGCAACACATGAATTTATTCAACTTCCCACAATAAAAATTGAATTAATCAATTCTAATACTTCATTAACTTACCAAAACATCTTCTTAGGCTTATAAAATCACTTTCCTAAACCTTATACCATCATAGGCTGAACCTCCCCTAATCAAGTTTCATGGAAATCTTAAAACAAAGAACCTTTTTAATCACTTAAGCCATCAATTTGTCATCTCAATTTCATGTATTTCACTTAGGAAATATTACAAACACTTGGTGTGCATATTTTTACACACAAAATCTGAACCATATAGAGTTCATTAAACTCTTACCTTTTGTGATTTCAATTTCTTTTTTGTAGTAGAGAAAACCAATCCATCACAACAACTCATTAACCAACTTAAACATCAATAAAACCACTTAAATTCATCATCAAACCAACATTAAAATTATCATCATAAACAGTCCCAAATTCATAAAATCTAACATAAAATCCGTGGAATTAATCAAGGAAAGATAGTTTAATCACTTTTTAATGCTTCTAGGAGACTAATTCATCAACATCTCATCAAAAGGACATGAAAACACATTATTTAACCAAGAGGGCAGCTGCTGGTTGCTGGACATATGGAGGAAGAACTCATCATATAAAGCTCCTAAGCATGAACAAGTTGGTAGGTTAGGTTCCTTAGGTTACTAGCTTGAATTTTTGTGAAGACATTTATGGAAGAAAATGATTAGAAAACATGTTGCCAAGCTTCTCTTGCTCACAAGGTGCACACGATTTTTGGAGAAGGAAAGAGTGCAGGTTCGTGTGTCTTAAAAAGAAGAACAACCGCCTTATACAATTGGAAATCACTAAAGACACTAGTTTTCACTTTCTTGTCTTTAACTTGAATCTTATTGGCTAATCCTTTTCCAACTTTTTAAATTCATCTTATTGACTCCCTTAGAAGAAGCATGCATCGTATAATACAAAGAAAAAAACTAGAAGAACCGACTTTGAAGAAAAAAATAATCTATTTTACTTAAATTAATCACCTTTGACTTTCCTTAATTCAAAATAAATCCTATTGGTCTATAATTAAACCAACCTTGACCTAATTAATTAATTATTCTAATCACAATTTGGATTAACTAAGAATACCTTTAGTCTATAGTTTTTCCCAAACAATTTAATTATACGATCAAATACAAGTTTAAAACTAGTTTAATTAACTTTTTAACACTCATTGACTTATGTTAATTCTAATTGCTTAATTTCAATTAAGCTTTTACCTATTACTAATAATTAATCTAGCCATCATTAGACTAATCTAAAACCACTTTAAATTCACTAATTCTCCTAAACTATATTATTCTAACATCCAATTCAAATTTAGACTTCATTTTGCTTATTTGCAAAATAGTCCCTAAACTTATGAATATTTGTATATTGACCCCTAAACTTTATTAAAATTCCCATTTGAGTCCTAATTGACTTGCTTAGCATGAGAGACATTCTTATTTATAACATCATGTTTCCAACATGATTTACTTATTAATATCATATAAAAGACTTATCTAATCCATACTTACAAAATTTTCTTTTTAAAGAGCTTATTTAATTTAATATTCATATGGCATTTTAAAATCTTAAAGGTATGGGTTGTTATATTATAACATCCCGAGTGCTGACGATTGTATGGTTAGTGGAAGAGCTAATGTACAATTGAATGTATGGTTAGTGGAAGAGCTAGCGTACTATCAGCGGGAGGGGTACATGAATGAATCGAATAACACCAGAAAGAGAGGGATTCCAGAGATTGTGCTGGTATAGGACACCATAGCTGAGGATAGCTCATAAGAATTAATCGATACTACCTATACTAACAAGATGCATATACTTTTCGGTAGCCCAAATCGGAAGAACTCCACAGTTAAGCGTGCTTGACTTCGAGCAATTCAAGGATGAGTGACCTCTTGAGAAGTTTTCCTGGTGATATGATCCCCAATAGGAATGGAGGAATGGATCTACTAGGAATGGAAATTCTAACCCCAAATTCATCCACCAACACGACCTGTTAAGAACAGAGCGTATCTCACGCTATAGACCTCGGATTTGGGTGATTCCAAAACGAGGTGAAAGATGGCTTCCTGAATCACGATTTTGGCACAAGAATCACCGGAAAAGGATAAGGAATTCGAGAGATATGAATCCAAGATAATATAGAACGAAATTGGAGTTTAAGGATTATAGGTAGGCGCCACAATTCGAAAGAATTGATAAGCCCAAGAACCCCACAAGGATTGATGCCCTTGATAAGTTCAGAGATTCTCAAAAGAACCCAAGAGAACTAGTCTCACCAAAATAGGTTAACTTGATATTCCAAATCTGTCTTCAAAAGCCATGGTGTTCCCTTATATAGTGGGCAACAACCATATTGAGTTTAACCTAAAAGTACTTACACATAAAAGAAGATAGACAACCCAATAATCCAGCCCAATAAGCCTTATTACAAAAAGTTTAACTAAATATAAGAAAATAAAAAATTAAGTGCAGAATTTGGGCCAAGTAAAATAAAGCCTTCATGCATATCCATTGAGGCTTATTCTTCAAGGTCTTCAATTTTAATTAAGTGTATCATTTTGGGCTCTTCTTCCTTTAGACTTGGGCTTGTCTCAAGTAAAGTGGTCACCAAGAGATTTAGAGCCTCTTTAGCCTTTTTAGCTTTTGCTCTTGTCATTGGGCCTCCAAGACCTTGTATGTCCTCCAAGTTTGTTGTCTTGGTCATGCCACCTCCTATGTCCTCATCACCTGGAAAGTGTGCGAGTGAGGACAAAGCACGCTGAAATGTCTCGTGTTAGTGTGTGGGGATAGTCGTTGATGCTTGCAAGTGGCCAGACGTTACAAGTGGTATCAGAGCAGGGTCTCTCATCTAGTACGGTGTGGTTCGAGGACGAACCAAGCAGAAGCTGGTGGGCATGTAACATCCCGAGTGCTGACGATTGTATGGTTAGTGGAAGAGCTAATGTACAATTGAATGTATGGTTAGTGGAAGAGCTAACGTACTATCAGCGGGACGAGACATGAATGAATCAAATAACACCGGAAAGAGAGGGATTCCAGAGATTGTGCTGGTATAGGACAACACAGCTGAGGATAGCTTATAAGAATTAATCGGTACTACCTATACTAACAAGATGCATCTACTTTTCAGTAGCCCAGATCGGAAGAACTCCACAGTTAAGCGTGCTTGACTTGGAGCAATTCAGGGAGGGGTTACCTCCTGAGAAGTTTTCCCGGAAAGTGTGCGAGTGAGGGCAAAGCACGCTGAAAAGTCTCGTATTATTAGTGTGTGGGGATAGTCGTTGATGCTTGCAAGTGGCCGGGCGTTACATAGTCTCCATACCTTTTAAAAGATTTTGCCCACAAAATCATAAACATCACTAATGACCACTCACTACTAGGTTGAAGAATTGATTTCTTCATGCCTAAGTACTATTTCTTAAACATTTTGTCACAATTAACCAAGAATTCATTAGATTAGAGATTTCCTAACCCATTTCTACATTCTACTTACAAAATATTCTAAAAGAAAAGACCTTATAGGTTCCTCTACATCAAACTACTTCTAAAAAATACTAACCAAAACTGTCAGAAATCATGAAAATAATTCATAATCACTTGGTTTCATCACTTCTTATCGAATTAACCCGATGCACATACATATTGTTTCATCACTTGGAACTAAATTCTTCCTTAAAGTAAATTTAAAATTTTATCCATATATTGTATCTCCAAAGGATATATTCCTCCAACCAAGCACGTATAAACCTCCAATACTCTAAGTCACTCTAACGAGCTATCAACCTTTTCTTCAACCAAACACAATGTAAGTTACCAGTCATTGTTACTTGACTCTGTCACCACTAACTTCTATTTAAAGGCCATCCGGCCTCCGACTTAACTCAAAATCTCATCATCACTAGCCTTCTTACAATAACATTTACTCAACCCACTAGTACTAACAAGTTGTTATTCCTTTCCCATAGGGTAAGAATCCCCAATAAACTTCACAATTGAAAGAAAGAGCCTTGAAGGCCGAAGGTATGTGAGGATGAAAACAAAATTTTTTCAAAGCGGAATTACACATACCAATTCAAGATACATGCTTTAGGACAGAATGTTACCTTGTTTGTAATTCAAAACTCGAAGACAATCAATGTTAGGCTTGAAGACACAAGCCCTAATGTTGATCCACACCACCCTATGCCAAGACGGAAGAACTATTCTTCAAAGCCACCAACGAACACTAAAGGAGGCATGCTAGGCATCCCTTATAGAGAGGAAAGAGGCTAGGTTTCAAGGTGTTTAGATGAGTGAATTTTCAGCAAGAAAACTCACAAAAAGTGGCGCATGAATTGTAGGAGAGAGTGGCTTTTATTTTTCAAAAAAAAAACCTAAAGAGAACTTGACCAAAAGGAAGCATTTAAGGAGATGAAAGAGCAATAATTTTGAATCAGATTTTTCACCAAAAATCTGATCATGGAGCGCCTCTTTTGTGGAGGATAGAGTGGAGTTGTTGCAATCTAAATCTAATCAACAAACTCCTATCCTATCCTCATAAAACTAAGTCTAAACCTAGTCAAAAATCTGACCTAATAACCATTATATGGTCAGCCATATGGTGCACCCCATTCAGCCCAAAATCATTCCATAAATATTGATTAGTTGCAATTCAAATTGAATCAACTAAATCAAATATTTCCACAACCAACCAAATCTGAATGGAGCTTAATTTGTTGACTAAATGACCATCATTAAACCACCAAATCAGCGTCCCAATCATCCCTGATGATGTCAAGATCTCCTCTTGATACTTGGGATTTGATCCTGACAAGATACTATCAATATCTCATCTTATCCTTTTGTTATGAAATATCCTTTCATAGCCAATTCAAATTTGAACATTCTAATTTAAATATTCAAATATTTAAATTCAAAATTCAAATTCAAAATTTAAATTTTAATTTAAACATTAGATAATTAATTCAACTAATTAAATTAATTAATAATGTCTTGGACCATCCAAGCCCATTACAACAATCCATGCGAACCTTTCCCTCTTAGGTGGGCATCCAAACTTCTTCTTGGGCTAACAATCATTATTAGGCCCAAAACCTTTAATGCTATAATGTGAAGACAATAAGGTGTTAGTGTGTGAGCCATTAGGCCCAACTTAGCCACTGACATAAATGGGCTTGGGCCCAATAAGACCACAACTCATTTAATGACAACACAGAGCACTAGCAATGCTTTGTTGCCCCAGAGCTAGTTAGGTTAGTGACATGATCATCCTATTAAATGTATTTGGTTACCGTATGTATTTCCTTTCGTCTCGGTTACCTTCCCATTAAACTTAGGGTGAGGAGATGTATTGCGGTTTAGGGTAAGCTTTGATTCGAAATAGGGAATCTTCGATTTACTGACTCTAAAGGCAGATCATCTCATGATCTCTTTTACTATGCATAGATTCCCGAGTCTCGTAAATGTCATCCCGATTTCTCCGGTTTACAGATAACATAATCCCTCACAGAGATTTGACGAATTCTTTCAGCTTATGACCCTAGGCTTGTGTTCTTTCAGGACATGCCCAAAGGTATACCTACGAATCTCCATGTTTCAGGCAGATGAGGTATACAATCAAAAAATGCCATCAACACAGTCTAGGTGAAAACTTTTGGTCTAAGGAAAGACATACCCAAATAATAAGAAGCTGCTCTAATGAAACTATTTGTGAGATTTCCTCATAGAGCCTCTTTGTGG